CCGGGCTGCTCTCGTTTGTACCTATCTACTTTTAATAACCATATGAGGAAAAAATCTTCGGGGCGACGGCTGGAATTAAACTCGAGTTTTCCGCTTGTCAGGCAAGCGTTCTTACGATTAAGCTATCTAGGTTTTGCGTTCTTCTTCCGTTTTCTCATAAAGGACATTGATATTGTCCGTTTTTCGGTACCGGCACAATACTGGCCCAATATTCTCTATTCGCAGCCCGTGTGGAAATTCAACAGATAAAAACTGGTTTGGTCTTAGCCGCTGTCCAATTTTCTTGTATATTAGGACAAGGGCTAGACGAAATCTAGCTAGATTCCTGTCAGTTTTGCTGTCTAGTTCTCGTAACCCCCAGGCTGGCTTGTAGCTGTCTCACTTTCCTCGATGATACCACAGACACTAAACGGAATATAGCTAGGTTTTAGTCAGATTTACTCTCTAGTTATAATAATTTCCAAGCTGGTCAGTAGCTATATTACGTTTTTAGATATAGACGTTACCAACCCATAAAGTGTTTTACGAATGAGCCAATAACGGGCCAGTACTAGTTGCCAGAGTTGCATTGTTGGCACTAGGAAGAGGTATTGGCGCAGTAGTGGCTACTATCTGGATGATAACCTGGGTCCAAGGCTCATTTCAGATCTGGTTCAGAGTTGTTTACCAGTACTGGTACATAAACGTCGGCCAGTAATGGGCCAATGCTTGTTGCAGTATTGACATAGTATTAATACCTACCCATGTACGATTACAGAATTGGGCCGATGTCGCACCAATGTCGGCCGCCAATTTCCGACCCTTGGCGCGACGCTGGCTATAACGTAGCGTCGACGTCAGCGCAATGTCCAAACGATAAAGGCCCAACACTAACGTCAGTGTCGAACCAACACTGACCACTGACATCGGGCCAATGTTGACATACCAGTATTGGTCCGACACTGTCCAGATAGCACAGAAAAATATTTATATACATTTTTTTTATTTTTTCATGAATTCTTCATAAATTTTCCACTTTACTGTTTTACACGCTACTTAATTCAATTTAAATTGTACTTCAAAAATTTGCTTACAATTGCTGAGATTTGAACCTGAGACTTCTGGTTCTTGAATCGTTTACTTTACCTACTACACCACTGTCACTTTTAGTAAGAGACGCTTCATATTGTATATCTAT